GAGGGAGGTGGAAACAATCCCAGGTAAACTCTGAACTGAGTACAGAGGCAGATGCAGGGTTCTATCTCAAGACTGAGATCATGATCTGAGCTGAAATCATGAGTTGGTCACTTAACCGACTGAGCCACCCAGGTGCCCCTCCATTCACTTTTTACTAACTCCCCCGTACATTTTCTAAATTAGTTCCTTTCTGTTTAAAGCCCCAATCTCTCTCTCAGACTCTTTTGATTTGTTTTCTAATGTAACAGAGAAATTTGAAGGTAACTGGTTTGGGCTAACTCAGCACCCCATGCTCTCTTTGAACCTTCCTTTAGTGTCAGAGAAAAAGCCTTTCTCATTTTCACTGCCAACTTCCCTTCTCCTGATCTCCGCCTCTCAACTCTTAGGGTAATTCTGAGGACCCTAGGAATAAGATACTAGGCATTTTTCTCTGTGGCATCTTCAGACTTTGCTCACGAGCAGCCACTTTTTTCTTCATATATATGTAGATTCACCTTGTCATCTCCTTCAAAATGTTTTTCTTGAGTTTTCTGCTCCTGTCCCGTTCCTTTCCTTTCTTTATCTGCCTCATGCCTCATGATCTTATACTTGTCCCTGTTCCTAATACCATGTTCTTCAGCAATCCCTTGCAATTTGATTTCTAACAACCTATTCAATGAAAAATGCTCAGTACAAGGGTGCCAGGGATTTTCTTCTAATATTCACCAGCATCTCCTCACTTCATTTTCCACAACATTTTGTTTCATTTAATACAATTGATGGGCTCGTAAAACCCTTCTTCCTATGGTGTCCATGTACCTCCCATCCCTGTCTATGTGCATCTGTTGATATTGTATTTAGACTTCTACTCTTCTTTTTTACCTTCTCAAAACTGTATATCTCCATGCCTTCCAATATCACCAAATCTGGTTCTCAAGTTGGTCAATCAACAGTCTTCCTTATCAGTCTCCAGCTTATTATCAAATTCAGCGTCCATTTATTTAGGATTCTTTGCCACATTCATTCCCATCTCTATGACTTAACTAATGTAGCATAACCCATGTGGAATCCCTTCCCTCTGCCAATCTAAATCCAATGTACCCACCCAGCCTTCCTGCAAGGTCAGCTAACGTCCTACCTCTTGGACTAGACCTTTGCCAAACAGTGCAGTACATTAAGGTCCTTTGTCTAAAACTACACTAGACTTGGGGTTTCTTGACAAGATGGTACCCCTAATTACCTCTAGTTACCTCAAATATGTAGGCCTTGTCAACTATCTCTCTGAAGTCATGAACAATGAACCTAAGTTTTTATTATCTGATAGCCCAGCAGTGTGTGCTGGGCAGACAGAAGTTGCTTAAGGAACTTATTTAATGCCTTAATACTAAATAAATATTATTGGAACAGGTCATGAAAGTACTATCATGGCATTGATAACTTCACTTTGAATGAAACTAGGATTTTTAATGGACTACTTAGAAAGCTACCAGCAGTATGACATAGTGGTTAAGAGTACAAGCCCAGACGGCCTGGGTTCAAATCCTGCTTCTATCATCTATTGGCTAGGTGAGCTTGGGAAGGTTAATTAACATCTTTGTGCCTTGATTTCCCTCCCTGAAAACAGGGGAACATAACAGTACCTACCTAATGGAGTCATTATGAAGATCAAATGAGTTATGTCAGATACATAAGACAGTTTTTTTTGTGTGTGTGTGTTTTTTTTAAGATTTTGTTTACTTAGTAGGGAGAGAGAGAGGAAGCACAATCAGGGGGAGTGGCAGGCAGAAGGAGAAGCAGGCTCCTCACTGAGCAGGGAGCCCGATGTGGGACTCGATCCCAGGACACTGAGATCATGACCTGAGCCGAAGGCAGATGCTTAACCGACTGAGCCACCCAGGCATCCCAAGACAGTTTTTGACATGTAGAAATTGCTCCATGAATGTTAACTATTATTAAATGCTTATTACACATAGCATGATAGTATCACAGAGCTAAAAGAACCCTCACTTCATAAGTGAATGAGTTGAGAAATAAAGGTAAAATGATTGGCTCAAGGTCTCATGGTTAATTAGAGGCAAACTCAGAAACCACCTTTTCTGACTTCTATTCAGTGTTTGCTTTTCCTCCCCAAGGATTTTATATCTGAACACGGAACTAAATTATAGAAGTTTAGAGTTGAAAGGGACATTCAAGCATCTTTAGTTCAACTTTCTTACACATTATCATACCGCACAATCACTTGTCACAAACCTTTCATCTTTGTTGACAGTACCATTTCACAGATATCTTAATCATCCAGACAAAAAGATCCTAATAGAACTTGCACCATGGCTTTCAAGTTAGTAAACATAGGAGGGATAGAAATTGATGCCAAGGTCAGGTCCCCTGAGTTCACATGATTATCACTAGATGAGGCCATTTTTAATGTCCATCTCTTGAAAAATAATATTTCTTTTTAAGAGAAAACATTGTCTGGAATACTCATTATAAAGCTGTGATTCAAGTCATCCCACACATATGTGAATGTTTTGCAGATAATATGCTTCCTGGTAGGAATCTGAAATTATGATTTTGATGAACTCTGAACAACACACTTTAGCAGCCAGAAAAAAGACACAGGGGCCAACTATCCATACCAGGCATAATTTCTGAAGGTTTCAACTTTCTGTGTGGTTCTCTGGAACAACATTCAGCCTGGTTGTGCAATCAGCTGTGCTAGGATTTTAAAATTCAATCTAGCAAATACAGACTCTCAGGAGGAATTGCACCAATAAAAGATTGTTATTAAATAGACACAAATAAACCTGTGTCTAAGGATTCTCTCATCAGAAGCAATAGCCTATTTTCTGTCTCAATTCAATGCTAAGAGGAGAGATTTCATTTCTCTTTAATGCAAATGAAATTGTCATATGTAACAGCAGCAATAAGGGAGAAGGCTGAACTGACTAATTATATTATGTGTCCACAAAAAATAACCACCCCCCTCCACCCTGCAAACAAGACTCAGGTAATCCACTTTCTCTGTGTATGATTATTTTAAAGATTTTATTTATTGAGAGAAAGTGAGCGAGCAGGGGGGAAAGCAGAGGGAGAGGGACAAGCAGACTGTGCTGAGCGCAGAGCCCCATGTGGGGCTTGATGTGGGACTCAATCTCATCACCCTGAGATCATGACCTGAGCCAAAATCAAGAGTCCAATGCTTAACTGACTGAGCCACCCAGGCGCCCCAAGCTGTATATGATTACTTTAAATGCCTGATTGCAGTATATGGACTCTGAGCTTTATGGCTTAGGATTTTAACCCTCAAAACAGGGAGGTCCTATTTCTTGAATCCGAAAGTTGAATTACTTTCTTTACACTGGAGACTGAACAGACAGCCTCCACTGATCCTAGAGAGGATGCATCATTCCTGATTTATGCTTCTGTAGTATTTTATTTATGTCTCTAACTTTCTCTACCCATGATAATCTGACTTGTTACACTTAGTTGTTTCCTTGGTAGACTATAAACTCCTGAGGATAGAGTTCAGGTCTTATTTATCTCTATATTCTCCCAGAGCCTTACAGTGTCTTGCATACAGTAGTTGCTCAATGAATGTTTTCATATTTGGCTTCAATGGTACATATATTAAGCATTTTTCATTTATAAAGTATTATCAATGGATTCCCACCTTTGATATACTTTATCCTTCCCATTTCTGAGAACTCTTGCCTTTGAAACATGAAAAAAAAAGCTTTAGCAGATTAATGTGGTAATTTAGATGGCTATACAAACCATCTAATCCTAGGGAATGCCTACTAATTCTTTGCTGAATTGTAATTTTATGAAAATTTGCAGAGGTTTCTTTTGAGCTTACAGTTGTTTAAAGGGACCCAACTACCTCAGTGCGGCAGAGTTAAGGAAAGAACTCAGAGAAATCCCAGAAAGACTGTTGTACCTTCTAGAAGGACCCAGCACCCAAGTCCTAACTCCAGGACCCTGTAAGCATGGTAAGATCGTGGCATTTTGAAGGCCTATTTTCCCTCCTTGACAGTTTCTCTGAGAAACTGTCAGTGTGATGTCCAAAACCATTTGGTTCATGCCCACAGATTGGCTGGCTATATAATATGTAGGGCCTAGTAGAAAAAAAAAAATGGAAGCCCCCTTGTTCAAAAGTTAAGAATTTCAAGACAATGGCAGCAGAACATTAAGGCAATTCTGAGCCTTTCTATGCACAGGGCCCTGTGTGACTACACAGGTCTCACATCTACAAAGCCAGCCCTGTTCTGTCTTCAGAGAGTTTTCAGTACAGCGAAAGGCAAAAAGTCTGTATGGAATAGAAGCTACAATTTAAGTGTGTACAAGGGTCTGCAGGAATCCTGAAGTTCCTAACTTTGTAAAATCATCCCAGAGAAGGTGGCAGTTAAGCTCACTTTTGAGGGAGCAGTGGAAGGGAAAGGAGATATTCCAGACTGAAGAAAGGTGGAATTCATCTGACAAATTTCAGTAATAGGGTTACCTTTAAGGAGAGTGGAGCAAGTGAACATGAGGGTGACATAAGATTGAGAGTGGAAAGAGGCAAAAGCCCAATGTATGGGGTAAGGGGTTGAACAATTATTGAGCGCCTATTGTATGTCAAGTTATTTCTCCCTGTGTCATAATTTCAAACACAATAATCCTGCCTATTTTACACATGGGCTAATTTAGGCCCAAGGTAGTAACGTTCAAAGGGTTTGGAGGACACTAGGTGTCCAATAAATATTTAAGGACTACCTGGAGGATGTATCTTAAGGGCCAGGACTCTTAACGATTAGGCCAGGCTGATTCTAAGTGGGCTTTTATTTTTTACTTTTTTTATTATTTTTTTAAATTAAATTCGATTAGCCGAGGTAAGTGGGCTTTTAACCCCTCCACTGATCCTTGCCGCATCTCTTCACAGTCCAAAGGTACTCTTCCCTCCCCCTCGCCCCGCCCCGTGTTTCAACGTGCCGGAAATTGGGCAGTTAAGTACTTCCGGTGTAGCAAAGGTCGGCCCCGGCAAGATGGCGGCCCCCTTGGAACTCAGTTGCTGGGGAGGTGGCTGGGGGCTCCCATCGGTGCACAGCGAGTCCCTGGTGGTGATGGTGAGGCCGCCTCGCGGGCCAGGGAGCAGAAAAGATGGGCGGGGCCAGAGGCGCGAGACTGGCTGGGCCTGGTCTCAGCCGCTCGCCGCGGTTCCCTGCGGCGCTGCAGGGCCCAGAGTGGCCGGGGCGCTTCTCGCTGCACCGCACTGGGTTCCTTCTCCTGGAGTCACAGCCTGGCCAGTGACCCCGCCGAAGTCTGGCGGGAGAGTCATGGCTTTCCCGCTGGGCTCCGAGTCTTCTCAGCCTTGCAGAGCCTTTTGGGCGGTGGAATGAAAAGCCAAAGCTGGGTGCGCGCACGCCCCGCTCTGCATCCCCCAGACCTTTGGGGAAACAAAGTCCCCGAAAGATGGGTAGCTGGCGCGCGGGTCCTCGGCTAGACAGCCGGAGAGGGACGCGTGTCAGGAGTTTCTGCTTTAGGGGGACCAGGCTGTAAAGTAAAGCTGCTCTGCAGATTTGCACTACGTACTCAGTCTGAGTGTTTTATTGCAAACTTTGTTTCAGGCTTACGCCAAATTTTCTGGTGCACCCTTGAAAGTCAAAGTCATAGATAACACCTGGAGAGGTTCAAGAGGTACAGTGTAAACATTTAATACACCCTTCTGGTCTTTTTTTAAGTGACTCCCCCCCCCCCCGAATTTAAAGCTGTGAGCCATGGAGTACCTTGGGATTTTAGTTTCTTCTTACCATGACCTTGGCTGTATGTTGCTTATAGTTTGATCATTATGAGTAATACTTTAAAATACAAGCCAGATCGATGGAAATTACGAGAAATGACAATGTTCTCCAGAACTGCTTTGTGAAATTGTAAAAAGCTAAGATGAGCTTAACTCATTTTCCCCCTCCAAATGTGCAATTGGTATAGTTTTTAGGGGATCGGAATCTCTTCAGAGGAAATAGAAACGTTTCCTAGTATGTAAACTTTTTGATTATAGGAGATGTACCAATTTTGACAACTGAAGACAACATCGTTTCTCAGCCTGCAAAAATACTAAACTTTTTAAGAAAACAGGTGGGTGCTTCCTTTTTAACATGTTCCCTGCATGTTACTTAAAAACAACAGAAACAAAAACATTGTAAAGTTTGGTTTTTAATTTTTTTTTAAACCAAATCAGATAATTGGAGTTACCTCAGGTTTGATATAAAACTAGACTTGAGAATTACTACTCTGACTCATGAGTTGTATTGTGATTTGAAAGTCATATAATGAGGTATACTCAATTTATACTTTCATGTATTTTTTTGGATTTGATTGAAGTTTAGACATAAGATTCAACGAAGCCATCTTCACTCTTATGCTTATTGATATGATTGTCAATTTAGTCACAAAGCTGCTACACGCTTTCTGCTGCAGATGACATCTGAGTTCCCACCAACTAGCAACTATTTTATTTTTAAAAAACACTTTAACTGGAGAGTTGCAATTAAATGTTTCCTGAAGTAATGTATCTAAAATGTGTGAGCATGTAAAGATTTGTATAATGTATCCAGAATATTTAAACATGTAAAGATTTTTATAAAAGCAAAGTTATAATTGGTTTTGCCAATACTTTTCTTAAAAAAATAAGTCCTCTGTCAACAAAATTTAGAACTGTTTTAAATTGGGGGTTTTTCTTTCTTTTCTCATGGGGAAAAATGTAACCAATTAGAACTTCTTCCTTATTGTTAAAAATAGTAACTTCTGTTTATTAAGTTTGTACTATATGCCATGCACTAAACTAAACTAGCTCATAAACAATCACTGAATAATAGCAGTTAACAAAAAGAGCACAATATTTATTGACCTTACTGTGTGTGCGATGTTGTGCTAAGAGCTTTATTTGCATTAAGCAGCATTTGTCACTGAATTTGTATGTATCGTTCTGCTTTTTAATATCATATTTGCCATTTTTGAGGAAGAATAGGAATCTTTATTTAGCCTCACTGTTTTGGGATGCCCTTGACTTCTCAAGTTTCTTGGTTTTATATTTTTTAATAGAAATATAATGCTGATTATGAGCTCTCAGCAAAACAGGGGGCAGATACACTGGCTTACATTGCTCTCATCGAAGAGAAGCTTCTTCCTGCAGTGGTGAGCATTGGTATTGTAGTGACCTACAAAAAATATACTTCAGTCTGTTTATAAGGAACATAATGAAAAAGGCTTAAGAGAGGAAATTTCATTTATGTATTAATCTTGATTCTTTTATGTTACTGTGAAACTGGATTGTTAGACATTCAACTAAGACATGAAACAATGAAGTGAAAGATAATGTCATTTTGGATATAAAAATTATTTATGGAAGATGGAGTTTGTTGCTCCCATGTATAGAATTTAGCTAACTATAATTCATTCATTCAATAAATATTCATTGAGTGCATATGTGCCAGGCCTTGTTTTGGGTGCCTGGTATATAGCAATCAACAAATTCATGTATTTAAAATCTTGTATCCTTGAGTCATTCTAATTGGGAAAGTTGTATGAAGCCACTTTATACAAAGATATTTATCAAAAAACTTTCACATTGATTGGATGACCTTTCTTTTAATAAAAGAACATGCTTGTGGTGGGTTTGATTTTGTTTTTGTTTTTTTGTTTGTTTTTGGTTTTTTTTTTGGTTTTTAGTTGTTTTTGTTTGTTTTGTAGCTTCACACATTCTGGGTTGAGAGTGACAATTACTTTAATGTGACAAGGCCATGGTTTGCTTCACGAATTCCTTTTCCCTTGAGTTTGATCCTGCCTGGAAGGATGTCTAAGGGAGCACTAAATAGAATTCTTCTGACCAGAGGAGAGCCTCCCCTTTACCACCTCCGAGAAGTGGAAGCTCAGGTATGGTTGGGATTACTTTCAAAGCAAGGGCCCTCCAGAGGAGGGACAAGAGAGACAGCAGAGATGAACATACCTAAATGCCTGCCTAAAAGGAGTTCTAGAGCATCCTTCCTACTTTTGAGTTGTAATTTCATCCTTATTAGATATACAGAGATGCCAAGGAGTGCCTAAATCTTCTGTCGAACAGATTGGGAACATCTCAGTTTTTCTTTGGAGACACGTGAGTGCATCCCCTTACAAATCATTTTGATGTTTTGTATGCATATAGTCAATGAACAGTTACCTAAAGCAAGTCCTCTTGCCCCCCCCTTACGAGTTTTTTACTTTAAAAAAAGATTTAATGGATTACTCTAGTAAACTTTTTCTATCCATGGTAATCAAACATGGACTCAGTGTGCTGTGTGAATTTAAAATATCTAAGGCTATTCCCACCCTGTCTCCTATTTGTATGTAACACTTGTGAGTAAAAATGCATCTTTAATTTATAACTTTTCTTCTAAATAAAATAAATGGTTAGAATATTAAAAAAAACTACTGAACAAAACATTACATCATTTTTATAAGCTAAAATGTGTAGTAGATCTTTTAAAAGGCTATATCGTATACTCCAGAATTGGCAAACGTATTTGAGAAAAAATATTTTTAACATAATCCCAAGTTAATATTTCCTTATGTGTTTTTAAAAAATCCTTAATTTATTTTTAGGCCGTCTACCTTGGATGCATATGTGTTTGGTTTCCTCGCGCCCCTTTATAAAGTACGCTTTCCTAAAGGTCAGTTACAAGGACATTTGCAACGGCTCTCCAACCTGTGCCGCTTCTGTGACGACATCCTGCACAGTTATTTTAGGCTTAGTCTTGAAGGTAAACTGGCTTCTCTTCAGCTAATCTGTGTTTGCCTAGAATGTCTGCATATTCTCCTATGGATGTAGAAGCAAAATTAATGACTTATTGAATACGTGTGTGTATTATCTTTAAATGTTGAGTTATAGCACTTGAAACAGTTGCATTTTTCCAAATTTATTTCCATGTGTTCTACTTTAAACAGAGAAATAGATATTTGCCTTTGGTCTATTCTTCTAGATTTTATACATTTCTTTCCTCTTGTTCTTCTTTAAATATTGCCCCTTTAAAGTGGATCATTTTCCTCTCAAAGTTAACCACAGGTATTTATTGAGTCCCTGTTGAAAGACAGCACTTATCCTAATACAAATGGGCAATTATTTTAAATGTTGCTTCTAGCATTTTCCTGCATGAACAGAAATCAGCAGCAGATTGATTTGGGTGAGGTACACTCCCATGATTCCACTACTTGAAAACTGATTGCATCAGACTGGAGGTATTGTAAATAGAGGGTACCCGTTACTTAGGATATGATTCCTTGGGAGTGTGGGGCCTTGTGCTTTAGTGATCGGGATACGAAAGCTATATTGGGAGAGTTGGCAGAAATTGTCCTTTTAACAGACAGAAGTTACAAGGATAACTGGTTTAGGGACAGTTTATTTTTCAGGGTGGGTTATGTGTTTTAGAGAGAGAGAGGGGTTAGCAGTTTGATAGTCGTGAAACTAAGTAACTTTCAATCTTGTTACTCTGGAACAGTGATTAGCAAACCTGGCTAGAGGACAAATACAGAATCTTGGCTCCTATTTCTGATTTACTGAATTAGAATCTCATAGGGATGGAGCCCAGGAATCTGTATTTTTTAAGTCCCTCCAAATACTGTTGATGCCTGGTTGATAGCTGTTTGGGAGTCGCTGCCTTAGAAAGCTATCCCAGTTGTTGTGACTAAGGGCCTATTTGGTATGAGTGGGGAGAAGGAACAACTGTAATTGGAGAAGGAAATGAGGACTGCTGTGCTCATTTACTAATTACTTTGGCTAACTGTGTAACACTTGGCTGTCTGCTTAATAGACAAATTTAGTCTTTTGGTTTAGGGTTTTAGTTTTGGAGCATTACCATCCCTCTTAACTTTGCCTTTGAACCCATAATGGTTTTTCACTTTGCCTGGATTTATTTATTTATTTTTGGTGGGTGGCGTACTTGGGAGGGTGGATAGACTCAAAATTCTTTCAGTCTAAACAGCTTTAAAGACTTTTAAAATTTTCTGTCTTTCTGATTTCTGTCCTGGCTTCTTAGGCATCTCTCCTGCTGGACAAGAAACGGTAGACGCAAATCTGCAGAAACTCACACAACTTGTAAATAAGGAATCCAACTTGATTGAAAAGGTCTAGTTTATTTCAATCATTATTTTATAGTAGTTTAGTATTTTCCTTTCTGAAATTAATATTATACCTTTAATTGTAAAGTTAATATGCATTAACTTTACCCTCTTAGCTTTTTTAAGAGTTTATTTTTCATTAAGCTGCTCAAATATACATTTATTAAAGTTGTACATAATATAGTGTTTCAAAGCCAGTAGTGGCCTGATTACTTTGATAGTGGTATTGGGTTTACTTTTACCATATAAGTAGTAATTTTTCAAATTAGGAGACCCAAAAGTCTGGCCTTAAAAAAAGAAGACAAAACCAAAACACTTCTTGCTTGTCTGTTCTGTCTCTGAAGGTTAATGTCTTGAGATCACAAGTACCTGTGCTTGTCCTTTCTTGTTATTAGCACTATGATGTCTTTTTCTTTCTTCTACTTAAACTGTGTTATTTTTTCTCCTTCCTTTCCTTCTCTGTTCTAAATGTTGCCTATGGGTTTTCATCAGTGGGGGTATTTTGCCACTTTGGGGTTGCTTATTTGATGAGAGAGAGATATTGAGGAAGTAGTAGGGGAGATAGCCAGTAATGGAAATTTTAAAGGTGATTCTAATTGAAAAAAATACAAGAGAGTTAGGCATTTTTCCACCAAGTGTCTAATAAACTTGCTTTTTTTCTTATACCAGTGAATGATACTTCATTCTTTCACTAACCCTAATGAGGCACTGTGGCCTAATAATACTGGTTCGCAGTTTCTGAGGTCTCAGTAACCGGCACCGTGTTGTGTGAGCTTTATGAGTTGTCTCATTGAATCCTCACAATAGCTCTGTGTGCACAGCTACTCTATCAGCCCTGTTTTACAGATGAGGATACTGAAGCTTCAAAAGTAGTGTACGTCCCCTACCCAGGGTCATTCAGGGGGCTAGAGGCAGAGAGGGGATTTGAACCCTGGAGATTGGATTCCAGCATGGGCTCTGCAGTTAGTCAGCTGCAAATGAAGGAAATACGTGGAATTCTGAATCCAGTACTAGTAGTATTAGTAGCCAGAAACCTCTGCCACTCTCTGGAATGACCCTTCTGTTTCTTGTTATAGTATTCCATGTATTGTTAGAACATGAAAAGTGAGTAGGACTGAGCAGTAAAGCTGTAAAAGACCAGTACTAAAGTTTAGGTGGGCTGACTGCACGCCAAGTTTATCTTCTTAGCCCAACTCAGTCAATCCCTTCAGAGGAAATATATTGAGTGTTAAGTGTAGGTAGTGGAAAGATTATTCGGATTGTTTTAGACACTTAACCGCCAGATGAGGGCCATCCAGTAGCGTTTTCATTTAATCTGTGTGGCAAATTCATGACAGCCATGTAGAGGGAACCACGAGATACCTGCCTGTGCAGAAAGGGGACCCAAGAGGCCCTGTGACCATTTTGTACACTTCCATCTTGGGTCGTCATCAATATATGAAAGTTCCCTAACTCTAAATCGGGCACTCTCCTTTCCACCCCTGTTTCATATCTGCTCTTCAGTATGGTTCACTGTTGGCTATAAGGTGTTAGAGCAACAAATCCCATCGGCTACTACAGTTCACCATTTGGACAGAAAATCTAGAGCTTAAAAAAAGAAAGAGCAATATTTGAGGAACTTAGTTCTTGCAAGAAAAAAGCATGACAACACAACTGATTCAGGTCGTTCACTGGGAATACTTTTTTCCATTGGAAAATTAAAAGTTAATCTTTTATTCTCTTTGCTTTCCTGTAAGTTGCATGTACCTCTGCTGAGACATGTCCTCTCTGCTATATAGGAGCATCTGGAGAAGATAAGAGAGAGTTTTGCTCTGTACATGCTCAAAACTCTAGGAAAGTCTACTGTTAAAGTGGGTAATCAGATGCTATATGCTGTTGGTTTGGTATCCTTGGTGGCTACTTTCAAGTCTCCTGAAGTTGAGCTGACAGAGAGCTCAACACCAGGCTCTGAACCTTGCACTCTATTTGTGGGGCCCCTGCTTAAAGGTAGCTTCCTAAGGTCTGACTCGGGTTCTAAATAATCCCTCTCCTAGTGTTTCCAGGGATGCTAATGTCCTCCTGAGGGGAGTGAAGGTCATTTTCACTGAGGCACTGAGGTCTAATTGAAAGGACAATAGTATTGGAATAAGAAGACCTGGGCTCTAATTTCAACTCATGATACTAGCTTTGCAACCTAATGCAAATTTCTTAACCTTGCTGAGCTCCGTTTTGCTAATATGTAAGATAGGGAATGATCATCTTCCATTTTGCCTTCACAATCATGTTGGGAAGATCAAAAGAGGTATTGTACATGAACATAATTTGTACACTGGGGAGCTCAGTGTGTCAGAAGTATTGCTTTTACACTTACTATTGGAAGACCTCTTAAATCAAGTTGTGATCTGGTTGAGTTCAGTAGAATATTCATTTTATGGAATTATAATAATTTGTGAAGTCATCAAAGATGAGCAGTATTGCTTTTATACATATACTGAGTTAGCTGGTATTTGAGGTACAACATTTCGAGTTCCCGAGATATTATTTGTAAGAAAAAGGTTTCTCGAGCAGTCCTGGAACCATAGGGTTCTGTACTCTTCTAGGCTGTAGTTTGGACGGGGAGACCACCGTCAAATGTACCTTTTGTACATTCCACAGATGGATGACAATCTTCGCCAAAGCCCTCAACTTCCTCCCCGGAAACTGCCAACACTTAAATTGACTCCAGCAGAAGAAGAAAGTAATTCCTTACAACGGCTATCACCCTGACAGTCATCACGCTTTGTGTCCAAAGTCATGATTGTTGCAGTCATCTCTTACACTACATGTGTGAAGGCAAAAAGAAAACGCCATTAGTAGGTATAAGGAAGGCTCTAAAAAGAAACTTTCTATGACATCTAGTTTCTCTTAATTAGCAAGCTTGTATTTTAGCTTGGTAGTGCACTTTAGATCACATCAGAGTGAATGCTAAATGAACTTGGGGGTAAAAAACCACATTGTACTGTATATTTAAAAGAAAAAAACAAAGAACCCTGCCTTAATCTTGGCAGATTTTTGCCTTTAGTTCACATGTTGCTGACCAAAAGCTACAATTCTCTTCTGAATGTGCACTCTCATTTATTCAAGTTAATTTATTTAGTTTTCTTAGAACAGTTTGAATATCTAATATGTGGCTCTTTGAGGCTTTTTTCTTCTGTTTAGAAATTTGATGCCAATTTTAGACATTAGGAAAAATGTAATATTTTAGTATTCTGTTGACTTCAGTAGAAAAGCCTGTATTTAAACAGCAATGAGGAATATGCTTAATTATGCTCTCTGAAGTGTAATCTTTTGGCAGATCAGTACTATATATATATATGTCTGAGATATATATATGTATCAAAGGTGGTTACATATAATATTCATCTGACTATATGCACTTCACTAGAACATTGGTATTTGCTGATGTGTTCAATATAAGGCTAGCAAGGACTCTTTTAGTTTATTGGACCAATGGCAGCTTTAGACCTATTATGTATTTGTAGTACATTTTTAACTCTAGTCCTCTCTTTCTTGGATTAATTTCAGGAGAACTGAGTATGTTGGTCATCACTTATTATGCCAGGCTGTAAAGTCTTACTGAAATTTGCCCAGTTGTCAGACACTACTCGGCTACAGTAATAGAAATACCTACTGTGTGCCTGGACCAAGTTCATCATGCTTGGACCAGTGTTCTTTCTTAAGAAGACTGTCACATAGTCAAAAGCTTTATGGCAACTTATTATTTTCCATATAGTTTAACTACAGTTTAAGGATCTAATGGAATATTCGGAAATAGCGGTAGTTTTTAAAGAATATTTTCTATTTATTGGTTGCCGACCTGTTAAAGGATTTGCTGTGCAGGTGATTTTACTTATAACAGAATCTGTCTAATTTTAGTGGCTGAGGTGCTTCTGTTGTCCTAAAACCACTTCTGGGGTTTTTAAAATATAGGATCATGTTTTTGATTAGTGTCTCAAAAGATTACTATGGTGCTCAGCAAATCTTATCACGTCGTGCAGAAATCCCCATGTTAAGAAAACAGCTTTGTCATCAAGAGACTCACCTAATTTGAGCTCAGTGGAGCTCAGCTGTGTTTGACCTAAATCCTCCCAATTTGTTCTGTATTTAGGTAGCTGTGGATGCAGGAGTCTTTAAGTCATTGTAAATATTTTTTCTTGGAAGTTTTAATTAAATGAGAAACAAGGTAGTCTTCAAAATCTTGTTCATCTGTTTGGATGTATTTAGGGAAAGTAACTAATGAGTTTCACATTACGTCTGCAATGGGTTTGTGTGTTTTGTATTAATATCCTATTAGATTCCAGCAATCCAAAATCTGTATGAATATTCTATACTGAAAATCATGACCGTAGGACTTTATCGTCCTCTGGGATTGATATATATTGGAGAAGGGTGGTTAACACATTAATCAGACATCTGTTTATGCTTTAGTTAGGGTTGGTCATTTTCAATTATGATTTATATTAAGCCTTCCAAGAAGCATTTGAAGTGGCTTAAAATTGTCAAACATAAAACAGGACAATTAAAATTAGTTTTGGGAAAAATAAAAAATGGGGGAGAAAGAGCTATACCAAACCCTAACAGATTCTAAAAATCAAACGGTAAATTTAACTCCCAGGTTTCTCCATGGGCACAAAAATAATACTGGCTTATGTAAAGTTTTCTGTCAATAAAACGACTAATATCCATGCTAAGGAAAATGTGTTTAAATTTTTATAAGAATGTAGAGATCGTGTTCTTATGACACAGAATTCAGCCAATAAGCATACTGTAACGTTTCACATGTTGAAAGTTTAATCAAAAGATAGCATTTTAGAATAACATATTTGTCATTTTTTAGTAGAAAAGACAGCTGTAAATATGACTTACTTCCTTTTGGTCATTCCTGCTTTGAATTGCCTTTAGCCTTGCACTACGTAGGCTAGGATGTTTCCAGACTACCTTTCCTAAGATGCAAAATGTGATTTAGGTAAGTGAGTGTTTATACGTTGGGCTACTTAGTTGAGCATTTTTGGGATAAGCCAACAAGATGCCAGGAAACTATAACTGAGCTTAAAGCACTCCAGGGATGACACACAGCTAGGAAGCTCTTAGAAAGGAACAACTTTCCAGATTGGGCAGTGAGCTTGTGATCAGCCTGTCAGGATATGCTTTGGGTAAAGTTTGAGTTTCTGAGATAAATGGTCCACAGTGTTTAACAAAATACTGTGAGCTACTTTCTTTGGGACGTGCTGGTGGAATATGACCAAAGGGACTATGTTTGTGTTTATATTTGTTGCTAGTATAAGTTTAGAAAATCGGTCAGATAATTCCCATAAGATAAAGATCCTCCATCAACAAACTGCCATCAGTCATCCATAAGACTGACCATTTCTTTGAACACTAAAGACACTGTAAAGAGCATTGAGGAGAGTCATTCCTTCACAGTGGTTTTTTTCCCCTACAAAGATTGGCACTGACAAATTTCACCGTAGGTATGTTTGTATTATTTTGGGGGTACTAGAGAATTCAAGATTTTTACAATAAATCCAAAGCATTTTGATTTGCATTTGCAATTTCCATTCATTTAATATTGCTAGATTTATTAACATGAAGGAATAAGGGAGCTTATTTCAATCACAGCTAAGTTACAATTTTCAGAAGTCTACAAAAACTAGACATCAAAAGAGGCAGAAATTGGTAACAGTGATAGAATCTCAGAAAACCAATTTTTTAAGGTGCCTTCATGTGATAAAAATGGTTTTTGAAGTCAGCAGTATGTTTTCCTAGAGCCTCTTCCGAGAATATACATTCATCAGGCCTATTAGATTTTTTTGACAGTTTTCCATAAACTGTCAAAAGTGTTAACCCTTTAAAACCAAAATATAAATACTTAAAGACAAGAAGCTGAGTGATGGATATACAGTCTCTGTATGATTTTTGGAACTTCTTGTGAGTCTATATTTCAAAATAAAAGGGTTTTAAAAAATAAATTTATTATCTACATAAACTGTGATTTAAATCTAATGATTCAAACATAGTATTTAGTATTCAATTCCAAATACATAATATAAATTAAATATAATTTACTTCCTTACGTTTAAAGAACACCTCAGGTTTGTAATGAATGATTATCTAAAGATTTGTTTTGCCTTACCAGAAAAGAAAAAACAACAACCTAAAACCAAGTACTCCATTTCCCTATAAAATATCCTATGATTTTATATTTGCAGTAGTATCTTCTTCCTATGGTACCTGGGTTTACTTTTTAGGATAAAATACGTTAAAAAAAGTTCTTCTGTGTCTTCATGTGGTGGTAGTTCTTTGCTTTGCCATGTTCTCTCTCATTATACAGGGCGTCAAGACGTACGCTAGGACTGGTTTAATGAAGAAAGTGCAGCATGTGTCTGTTTTTTGTTCTAAGCTCATAGGGATTTAGTAATTGACTTTGTCTTGGTTTGGTTATTTATATAATTGAAATCCTGAGCAGAGCCACTGAGTATAATTTGGGTTTTGATTATGGTCTTTTGTATATGTTGTTGGCATTAAGAATTATCTTTTGCCTTTTTTTTCTTGTCCAGCTCTGTGGAATTTACATTTGCTCTTCAATGTTTTCATATTTCCTGAATAGAATATTAAGAAATTTGTTGTTAATTACATGAACTAAAGGTTTGTAATCCTGTTACCCTCAAAGGTTTAACTGAAGTGTCATTAGATCTTCAAAGGGCTGATTTTCACAGAGAGTAAAGGTGAAGTTTTGGGTTTTTTTAAGGGTTTGCAAAATATTTTAGCCCCTGTTGGGATATAGTTAGGGTTTGCTAGGAAGCCCAAAATCTTGTTGGGATGTTGTGTTTGCTAGAAGCCCAGGTTACCAGCCCTAGACTTAAAACCACAGCGATTGAAGTGGAGAGGTAGTCTCAGAATCAAAAAGCATACAGAAATTATTTGTTCCAGATGAGGAGGCCCATGATTACTAATGAGAATTAACATTCTTGAGTAATGATATAAGAAAGGGTAACTTTGAGCTGGGGGAATGTTGTGATAGCAACATTCTTAGCAAAACAAAGTAGTTTCTTAAAAAAGAAAATGACGGGAAAACAAGTCTTTGTATCCTGATTTTATTAATTTGAAATTATACTGTAAGATTTTTTAAAAACCATCTTTTAGTTCCTTGGAAAGGAGGTGTGTTTGGCAGATTGTATTGTTAGGTGAATAGAGGGTTCTATGGCCAAATAAGTTTGGGAAATGCTCGGTTAAGTTACTATAGGCTTTTCTGAACCTTTGTGTGGTTTCACTCTCCGAGAAGGGCCTGTATTGTATACGCTATTTCCCTGATTTATTGTATTTGGTTTTGGGGTTTTTTTGTTTTTGTTTTTTTTAAAGTAGGTATCTTCTGGGATTTGTATTCTGAGGAATATACTTAGGGAAATGCTGCCCTGGAGTGTTTTTGCTTGTTGGTGCTAATTGCAAAGGTTTGCTGTTGTCAGGTGCCCCTCTAGTGAGTGGTGATAAAAAAATGGGAAGATAGGTTAGGACTTCCTTGCACCATGCAGTTGGGGAGGGGGGGCGTGGGTTTAAACAGTTCGGTTACTTAGGCACATGTGAGGCCCCTGGTCAGTCCCAGTCCCCAGCCCCTTTCCGTAGAATCCCAGCTGGCTTGGAACAGCTGTACAGGGACATGACCTGGTGGCTCCAGAGAACTCAGCAGTTCTTAGGCGTCTCCGAATAGAGGGAGCCAACTTGGAATTCCA